GGGTCGGAGTTCGGTTTGGCGACAAAGTAGTCCACATTGATCGTCAGAGGGATCCAGCAGGCCTTACACCCTGGCCTACAACAACACTGGCTCCCCTGCTGGTACACAGTGGAGGTGCGGGGCGAGCTCCAGTCACCTGTGGTAGAGGGGAGTCAATGGCCTTGTCTGAATACCCATTCCTGCGTTCTAAATGGTAGACATTTTGGGTATATAAAAAATGTAATGGTTTATTTACTACGTGAGGCTTATTTGACCGAATATAAGTTTCGTAATACTTAGGTTGTTACGAGTGTACTGATATAAGTAGGACACTTCACATCCCGGCAACTTTGATAAAACAATTTTATATCGGACTTGTGCCCATATTGTTTCCACGCGTATCTGCCCTCTCATTGGCTAGAATAGTCCCACCTGATCTTGCCTTTTCCCGACTGCCTTCCATTTTTGACGTATTTTCATTGTTAGAGCGTCCACTTGACTATCTGGTCAATATAATGGATAATCTACGACTTTATTCAGGAAGAAAATCGTCATTCGAGACCCACGTGTGTTTGACAACAAGTTGATAATCAGATATGGTGACGCCCTGTACCAAAATTAACGAATGTCGGGAATCAACGAAATTGCTCATTAGATTATGCATTCTCAGTATGGATGAGCCTAGTATGTTGATATTTGTTGCTTACCAGTGGCGGCTCCTGAAAAAATTCTCAGGAGGGGCAATTTTTCTGATGATTTAGGTGACCTACACACGTGCACGAGTCCGTGCACGCGATTCCAGATATCTTTACCTCTGAATAAACTGCCTTTATTATACCATATCCACCCTGTCCAAAGTCTCTACTTGGTCTCAGTTCTCCAGTAAACTTGTGATTATCAACAGTACACAACGGTAACAAACAATTGGGGGAACTCACGGGGCAGATAGTAACCACTTAAAAGGAAGCGATTCCCAAACCTTCCATAACAAAGCCATCACCTACAGAGAGATGAACTTGGAGAAGAGTCCCCTAAGTAAGCTTGTCCTGGGCCTCTGTTCACAAACACAAACAGACCCCACACAGCCCCAGGACAACAACAACAACAACAACAACAACACAATTAGACCCAACCAAATCATGAGAAAACAAAAAGAATTACTTGACACATTGGAAAGAACAAACAAAAAAACAGAGCAAACTAGAATGCTATTTGGCCCTAAACAGAGAGTACACAGTGGCAGAATACCTGACCACTGTGACTGACCCAAACTTAATGAAAGCTTTGACTATGTACAGACTCAGTGACCATAGCCTTGCTATTGAGAAAGGCCGCCGTAGGCAGACCTGGCTCTCAAGAGAAGACAGGCTATGTGCACACTGCCCACAAAATGAGGTGGAAACTGAGCTGCACTTCCTAACCTCCTGCCAAATGTATGACCATATTAGAGACACATATTTCCCTCAGATTACAGCGATCCACAAAGAATTCGAAAACAAACCCAATTTTGATAAACTCCCTTATCTACTGGGTGAAAAACCACAGTGTGCCATCACAGCTGCAAGATTTGTGACCTGTTGCCACAAGAAAAGGGCAACCAGTGAAGAACAAACACCATTGTAAATACAACCCATATTTATGTTTATTTATTTTCCCATTTGTACTTTAACTATTTGCACATTGTAACAACACTGTATATATACATAATATGACATTTGAAATGTCTTTATTCTTTTGAAACTTCTGAGTGTAATGTTTACTGTTAATATTTATTGTTTATTTCACTTTTGTTTACTATCTACTTCCCTTGCTTTGGCAATGTTAACACACGTTTCCCATGCCAATAAAGCCCTTAAATTGAATTGAATTGATAGTAAGGTCGCAATGACACAGAAAGCAGTTCAATGTCGGGGTACAGAGTCGCTCTCTTACCAGGATCGCGGTCCGCTCTGACCAGGGTGAAGGTGGCCGGCTCCACTTCTCTGTCCGGGACTCATCCAGCCAAGTCTCCCAGCTGTATTGGGATTCAGCTGCCAGCAGCGTTTTCATTATTTAGTCCGTTCGTAGCGGGTATGTACACGATCAACAAGATCAGTCCAAAACCAACCACAGACACCCATAGAGAATGTATTGAAAGCTTTGAAATGTGAAAAAAATAGATTTTACATGACAGGCTATGAGAGACTTCTGGGCGATTTTCAACTTGACTGAAATCGCCCCAAAAACGGGCGGGGCCACATCTTTGTCTTCTTAAGGACCATTTGAAGCACGACTTTAGCCTGATTTGACATTTAGTGGCTGGCAGATCAGACGTGAACACTGATAACTGCTGTTGCCGTGATATAATTGATTAGAAAAAAAATCCCTTCCTTTTCCCGTTTGGCAGTGCGTCGCCCATATCGCCCTATTGAACAAGCCGTCCCTGTTGCTTACTGCATTCGATTTTCCTAAACAGTACGTTCTAAGTAGTATGTTGTACGATTAGTACACAGTATGCAGTTTTAGTAAGTAGTTGGCAAGACAGATTTCGGACTCAGCCGTTGAGATGATCACCTTATGAAGTGGTAATAAATGGTGTAGTATGACAGATTCATAAGTCTATCTTCAACTGTAAAATAGTGAAAATAAATTGTATTTTTGCTATTGTGTCAGTGGTTGTGAGCTCATATCCCAGCCTTTAGTAAGAGAAGTGTAGCAGGCCCATGGCACTGATGGTGGAGGTCATAGGCAGCCATGTTGAATCAGTGGCTCCCCACTCACTTTGTTTCCTAAAAAACAAATAAGCTAAGAAATATGATACATCTTTGTCTTCTTAAGGACCCTCCGAGAGTGGGCTACATAGTGGACTGTAAAAGTCATGGTTTTTCTGTGGTTTTCTATGTGTGCCATTTTCTCAATTAGAATGTACCCAAAAATATATAATTGACTATCATCATGGCACTCAGGACTCACTTCTTATAGTGGCACTCAATGGGTATGACGGTATTAACCCCTCCGACTATCAGGCTGCCACTGAGGGTGGGGAGAGAACACATACCAAGAGAGAACACCAGTTTGTTGGAGTAGATCAGCCATTCCCCATTCACTTGCAGGGGGTGGAGAAGCATTGGCTATAGGCCTACGATATCCTATAACTTCATGTTTTGATCATTTAAAGAGTGCATTGTCACTTAAATTGCCTACACACAGACAGGCACTTATTTGTCATTGACCATGAAAGACAGCCAAAATAATACTGAGACAGACCAAACTTTCTCATGTAAAAGCTGCCACTATTTAATGTGTTATTTTAGTTTATTCATTGTTACACTAGGCTACTTACTCTGGACTCACTGTCACAGTCCTGTAGTCCTGGGCTGGGTTTTCCAAAAGCATCATAGCACTAAAATCATCTTTCGTCCATTTAGTTTCAATGGAATTAAGAGTAGTTTAGTGCTAGGATGCTTTTGGGAAACCCAGCCCAGACCAATTCAGATGTAGACACCGTCTAATGAAACAGGTGCACAGGAAAAATGTGAGGGTGAGGTGTTGCAATTGAAGTGCGGATCATGATCCTGAGTTCCTGGAGTGCCCTGTAAGGGTGAAGGAAATTGAGGTGGCAAAAGTTAGAGCGGTCATCAATCGAATCTCCTATGCGGAGGCGATTAAAATAATTGAGAAAACAAGTAATGCTAGTGAAGATATGGTAGTGGAATGTTTGCTGCCAGACAAAAGATACCATTTGTGTTAAAAAGGTGTATTTTGTTGCGTTCATTGCCACAGTTATAAACTGTACAGCACAAGTCTCAACGAAGTCGAAGAAACTGGACATTATTGTGGCTGCTGCAGAAATCTTTTGGGGACTCAAGGATTTTACATCTGAAGACTTGCAAGGGGTACTTGTGCCAGAAGACCCACCCTCCCAGATTCCCCTTGAGCCTGTGTAGGGAGCAGATCTGTTTTATTTATTTATTTTTAACAGAAAAGTTGTTTGATTTATTTTATTGTATTTATTTTTGGTAGTTCAGTTTTTTGAGGTTGTTTCATCCCGCATAGTAGGTGGCGGGATGCACATTAAATTGTGTGATCGCCAATGTACCTAGAAGAAGAGGAATGTGAGGTTGAGAAAACAATGCCTCTCTCCTTTCGAATAATTATCTATTCACTGTATCCAAATTTGCATTTGGCACCTTCATTTCTTAGCATTTTACTTGTAGCCCGTCTATATCCCAATGTTTTTCGGATTTTAGAGGACTTGGAGACAAAATTGAGACAGATTTTTGGTTTAAAAGAAAAGCTGACCCAACAACAAAATGTATTGGGAGGAATCTCGAGACGACCGTTGGAATAAAAATTATGTGTGGTCATCGGCAGTCATTATCTTCTCCACACGACCACAAGGTAGGGAGGTCACCACGAAGAACAATGTCCTTTTTAGTAACAAAAACATCTGGTCGACTATGAAAACGGTGACTGAGAAGTGTTAATTATTGCAATGCGTAAGTGCATACGGAATTTGACAGTTTAGGTGGTAGGCTATATTACAGAATCATACAGACCAGACTGATCATCCAGGCAGGATCACTGACAGCCAGGTGTCTATCAATCATTTACAGGTGTGCGACTGTGCGCTTGATGCAAAAGAAGGGGGAGGTGTTAGGGAAGTGTGGCAATCTATATTTAAAATATTGAGAATATGTCATCCATAAAATTGTGCCCAATAACTAGCGCCTGCGCCCGTTTAAGAAAATGTATTCCACGAAGCCCAGATAGGAACTCATTCATCAGCTTTTGCGGATAAGGGGAACTATTTCAGCGACGAACTGAGTCACAGTTCTGCTCAGATCGCTGTCAAAAAACTCCACGTATGTTTTTCTCAGTACATCGAATAATATTCAAGTTAAATGAAACAGGAAAACCGAGTAACAAAATTGGACTGCTACTTGGATCTTGAAGGTTCAGATTGAAGAAGAAAAGGCCGTGCATCATGGAATGACAGCAGAATTGCCATGTTGACAAGGGTTCACAAGAATTGAAGACAAATGGCTAATATAGAGGAAAACGTTTCTGAGGGGATTGACTGGGGTGAAAAGACAGTGGTGGGAGAAAAACACAAAGGTACAGAGCGTAATCCAGATTGGACTGGGACTCTACTGAAGAATGCACACATTGGACTTCCTAGCCCAGCACCAGATGTTGTCAAATGTTCCCTAATATCTGGGGAGTGTCTCTACTTCCACTATGGGTGTGATGGTCAGGATGACAGGGGCTGGGGCTGTGGCTACCGCACCCTACAGACCATGGCCTCATGGCTGTGCCAGAGCTGGGCCCCACCACCACCTAAGGGCAAATGCAGACCCCCACCCAGCCTCCCCGAAATCCAGCACGCCTTGGTCGCAATGGGTGACAAGCTTGCCTTGTTCGCTGGCTCTCGCGAGTGGATAGGGACGTTTGAGGCGGCCCTGGTCCTCGACTACTACTACGACGTCCCCTGTAAGGTTGTCCACGTGCGGGGTGGAATGGTAGAACTACAGAGGGCTGCTGTGGAGCTTCACCAGCACTTCCAGAGCCAGGGGTCCCCTGTCATGATGGGAGGGGACCGGGACAACTCCTCCAAGGGGATCCTGGGTGTGTGCACTCGGCCTGGGGGCCAGGAGAGCTACCTGCTGGTGATGGACCCTCACTACTATGGGCCCCCACTGGAGAGGGCGTCGGTGCAGGGGCTGGGGTGGGTGTCGTGGAAAAAGGTAGGGTCACTGGATCATAGCTCTTTCTATAACTTGTGTCTGCCTCAGACTGCCAGGAAATGAAAGGGAGAAGGACAGATCAGGGTTTAAAAGAAGAGATGTGTTTACTCTTTGGCTGTGTTTACACAGGCAGCCCAATTCTGATATTTTTTTCCACTAATTGCAGCCACAGAGAATTCTTGTAAGGACTTAATTGGATAATCGCTTCATTAAATGTGTTGTAAATATCTGAGAAAATATTTTTAAAATATTATATATATATATATATATATATACAGTACCAGTCAAGTTTGGACACACCTATTAATTCCAAGGTTTTTCTTTATTTTTACTATTTTCTACATTGTAGAATAATAGTGAAGACATCAAAACTATGAAATAACACATATGGAATCATGTAGTAACCAAAAAAGTGTTAAACAAATCGAAATATATTTTATATTTGAGATTCTTCAAAGTAGCCACCCTTTTCCTTGATGACAGCTTTTCACACTCTTGGCATTCTCTCAACCAGCTTCATGAGGAATGTTTTTCCAACAGTCTTGAAGGACTGTATATATATATTTGAACGCTGCAGCCCGTCTGGTGTTCAACCTTCCCAAGTTCTCTTATGTCACCCCGCTCCTCCGCACACTCCACTGGCTTCCAGTTGAGGCTCGCATCTACTACAAGACCATGGTGCTTGCCTATGGAGCTGTGAGGGGAACGGCACCTCCTTACCTTCAGGCCCTGATCAGCCCCTACACCCAAACGAGGGCACTACGTTCATCCACCTCTGGCCTGCTAGCTCCCCTACCTCTACGGAAGCACAGTTCCCACTCAGCCCAGTCAAAGCTATTCGCTGCTCTGGCACCCCAATGGTGGAACAAGCTCCCCCACGACGCCAGGACAGCGGAGTCACTGACCACCTTCCGGAGACACTTGAAACCCTACCTCTTTAAGGAATACCTGGAATAGTATAAAGTAATCCTTCTACCCCCAGTCCCCCCCACCCCCCCATAAAAAAAGAAAGAAAAAAAGTGGTTGTCCCACTTGCTATCATAAGTTGAATGCACCAATTTGTAAGTCGCTCTGGATAAGAGCGTTTGCTAAATGATGTAAATGTACATTTGAAAGAAAAAATATCTGTTATGATCCACAAAAATAAAGATATGTTAAATATATTTGTACTGTTCTGTACAGCAGTAGGGACTGGGAGTAGTGTCTGAGTAGAACACTATTGCCCTCTTGTGGATAAATGCAGACTTCATATGGTGTGAGGCTGTTACCATAGAAACAGAATCACTAGTTCTGTGTAGGGTTACAAAATTCCTGGGGCCTCATTTATCAATCATGCGTGCGCACAAATCTGTGCGTAAACCATGCGTGGGATCATTTCGATGCAAAAAATGAGATTAATCAACATGAATGTTTGCTTGAGCGTGTGCTCAACCCTACCGATAGTTGTGTTAAGTTGTGTTAAGTAGCAAATGTGCCTACTCTGGTCTTGCCGCGTGGGCTCTAGCCAACAGCTGGCTGATACAGTGCAGGTAGGCTGTGAGAGTAGGCTAGTCTACATGATGAGATTATTATGGATAACAGTGAGAATATTTGTATTTGTCAAACGGCAGTCAAGCATCGATCAGAATAAGACCCTTTATATTTATTGGAAAGGAGCATCAAGATCACCGTGCACTTTCACCACCCTGTGAAGTTCATTAGAAGTTATTTCATAGTCTAAGAAATTGCATGGTTTCCCGAGTCGTGGTGGGAGGACTACACCAGAGGAGGCTGGTGGGAGGAGCTATAGGAGGACAGGCTCATTGTAATGCCTGGAATGGAATAAAGGGAACGCTATCAAACATATGGAAACCATATTCCATTCCAGCCATTACAATGAGCCCGTCCTCCTATAGTGCCTCCCACCAGCCTCCTCTGGACTACACATCATGCCATTGCGTGACTTCAAGTTTACTTCGATATGATGGTTGTTAGCACCTCTATTTCAGTCTTTTTTTCTTAGCTTTTATGTGTCGCACCGTTGTGTTTCTTAGTCTGGCAGTGTATATTCCCCACGTGCTTTGAAGGGATGATTTTGACCATATATGGTTAATTAGGGGCTTTTCGAAATGCAAATAGCCAAGGTCATGCACGAGCACTGAGGCTGAGAACAATTGGTATGTATCAATGGTTATCTCCTACTGGTGTGCGAATGATGCTCGTAGGATTGTTTGATAAATCACACTTTTTCTTTGCAAACAAAAATGGTAAATTCCATTTGTAAGTAGTATTTTAGAATAGTTTCTATGTAATATTGATAAATGAGGCCCCTGGAACTTTCAATAAATTCCCTGGTTTTCCCGAAATCCCAGTTGGAGTTCCCTGGAATCAGGATGGAATAAGCAGGAAATCAGGAAACCTCCAACCGGGATTTCTGGAAAACCAATAATATTAAGTTCCTGGGAATTTTGCAACCCTAGTTCTGTGGCAGTAACTAAACCTTTAAAAGATGACTACAAGCCTGGTGAATATAATACCGGAATGTGAATACAGTAATTATCCAACATGAATTCTTATGAATTCACTTTATCTCGTACCAGATACTCAACATCTTGACTTTCTTCTATGGCGTTTAGTACAGTCTGTCTCTGCAGTGGCGAATATAAGCCGGTGAGTTCTCCTTGGTTCACATCACACTGACTTGTTCTTGTTACCCAGAGGCCAACATGCAAATGAAGCTTCTGATCAAAGAACAGACATTGGGTCTTAAATAGGACATGATTGTTTTACATAGAGAAGGGTTTTACCACTCAAATGCAACTATGTCTATAATCTCAAAAGGCTCTGAGTTTGACTGCACATTTTAGGAGCAGTGTCTGCATGAAAGTGAGATTCATTTTCTTACAAAAAGCACCATGTTTCTTGAACTAGGGGGTAGGCCTACACTTCACATTCATTTTCATACATTGAATGGACAATGGAAGCGGAACAGGGTTTGAACGTTGGTCTTTATTGCTTGTAAGCAACAACTCACCCACAGGCTACATTCATATTGTCAAAATCTACTCAATACAGAAATGAGATGACAATGTAGAGGTGACATTGAGGCTGGCATGATTGCAATCACTATCACATGGTTGTTCACTATTAGTCAGGCACACAGTCGTTGTAGAAGATCTGGAAGTTCTTGTCCACGTCCATCCTTCCCCTGAGGAACTTCTCCAGGTTCTTCACCGGAACCTCCACCAGGTGGTTGTTGACACGGTCGTTCAGCCCGTAGGCTCCGAACGCCGGGAACTTGTACCGCTGGAAGTAGGGCGCGTTCTGGTCATAGTTGGTGCAGCAGTAGGCTGACCACATGTACTCGGGGACGGCCACGCGGTCCAGGTTGTCGCGGCGGATCATATTCCCAGAGGTCGTGACCCCGGTGATCACGTAGGCTTTGCCGCGGCAGTAGTTGTTGAGGCGCTTGCGGATGAGGTCCTCGTGCTCGGCCCAGGGCCCAATGTTGAACTCACGGATCTGGGGCAAAAAGCAAGATCATTACTGTTATTTCCCATACTTCTTCTTCTTCTTCTTAATCTTCCACTCGCTCCTTCGCTTAAACAGTTTAAGGTAGACACACCAAACCAACGTTTAAATGTGCAGACTGAAACAATTTACCTGGGGCACCACGTTGGTCAGTGTGTAGGTGGAGGCCTTGTCCAGGGGGTCGGCCTGGTGCTCATCGGGGTTGAGATGCCCTCTCTCGTACTGGACCACGTCAGCATAGTCCTCCAGCACGGCCTGGCTGTCCTCAAAGTTCATGTGCATGTGAGAGGAGGACTGGGGGAATGGCTCCATGTTGCTGCTGCCCTTCTCTGACGCCAACTACAGAGGGAGAGAGGGGGGGAAGGAGAGAGGGAGAGAGGGGGGGAAGGAGAGAGGGAGAGAGGGGGGGAAGGAGAGAGGGAGAGAGGGGGGGAAGGAGGGAGGGAGAGAGGGGGTAATGGAGAGAAGGAGGGAGAGAGAGGGGGTAGAGGATACAGATAGAGGGAGGGAGAGGTGGGGGGAAATAGAGACAGAGGGAGAGAGAGGGGATTTTGATGAAGATGGAAAATGAGGGAAGGATCAATTCAATTTGCATATGCATAAAACGTGCTGCCCACATGAACAGATTACAACAATATCCTATTGTAACACCAATTCACACAGCCCATGAAGCTGCTTATCTCCAGCTTCTAATTTTGCTATGAGCAGCAATATTGTCCACACAGCTCAGCAAGCTTTACCTACTAGTGTATGGGTGTCAGTCATCTGCATCCATGAGAGAACCTTTATCAAACATGTTTTGAAATTACATAATGGGGTTGCTAACACGCTAAATTGGAGCATGTAAACATTTTGGTCTATGTTCAAAGACTAAATCCAACACACACTCACTACATACACACACACTATTCTACCTGTGGCTCGAACATCCAGGGGAAGTCCACTCTCTTCTCGCCGTCGGACTTCTTGAAGGTATAGGCCGAATAGACAGGGATGTGTTTGTGGGGGTCATAGAGGGTGACGAAGCGTGGCTTGTCCTCATAGCGCTGGCAGATCTTCTTCAGGGAGTTACTGAGGAGGTAGCCCCGAGGTGGGGTTCCCATGTACAGAGAGTCCTTACAGCGCTCCACGTGGTTAAAGTCCTCCACCACCCCAGCCTGGGACTCCCGCATACAACCCAGTATCAGCAGGACAGCCAGAGACAGAAAAGAGTAGATGGATAAGTGTTTCATGGTGACCATGTTAGCTACTCAGTCTCTCCCTCTGTCTCTCTCTCTCTCGTTCTGTCTCGTTGTCCTCGAACCTATCTTGTTTAGTTGTCTTGTGTTCCCCTCGCTCCCTTTGCCATTCACACACTACTGTTGCTACTTTGTGCGTGAGATTCCTGTCTCTCACTTCACACTTTCCCGTGTGAGTCTATAACTCTCTGTACGGTCTCATCTCTCTCATGAAGAGATACTCAGTGGTTCGGCCCATCTTGACTTCCCATTGTCAAGTCCTTTTCCATATATTCAAAGTGGCAAGCCACCACAGCAAAGTGAGGAGCAGCAGTTCATGTTATCAGTGTTCAGCTTTCAAACGCCTTCCTAGATTACCCAGAACTAGGCCCAGCTATAGCATGAAGCATTGGATAGACGTCTTTTACTTGGTAATATGAAAACAGGCTCTGTTAGGCCCTGAAAGGCTGTGTTTTTGTTATCAATCTCATGCTCTCTGCTCTGTAAAAGGGACCCAAGGCCACCTGTGTCAGTGTCCATCTGTGGAGAACGTGGTCAGAGCTGAATGGGATCTCTCTACAGTACGCTGCCTCTCATCCTCTGAAGTGAAGAGATGCAAAGTGTGTGTGTAGACCTGTTGATAGTCTGATCTGCCTATCCTCTCATGTAAAGACTGAGGTGTGAGCAGAATAAGGCTTTGTGCAGTGGTAGATTGGAAATGAGACCTAGCTGTGCCATGAAGAATTTTCCTTCACAGACTTCTTGTGGATTCATTGATTTTCACTGGAATTACTATGATTTGTTTCCAGTAAAAAAGTTTGTGGAGGTACAGAAAAACAACATTCCATCCAGGAACTTCAGTGAAATTAATAGCAACGACTTGTTGTTTTTATTTCTACTCATTATTAATATTGGTAAAACCTGTCTGAACAGTTGCTGTTTCACACATTTCCTGTTGAAAACCACATGAGGGTAGTGGGAGGTGTTTAACACCCAGAGTTCGCATGACACCCCTTCCACGCAGCAACTGAATATTGCTCTGAATAAAAACCATTGCTAATGTATTAGTCATATCATAGCACGCATTTATATATAGTATGTCAGAAGAAATGAGTCATCCAACTGTTGGAATGGGTGAACTTTATTCAATCAGACATACAGTGCCAGTATTCAGACCCCTTGACTTTTTCCACATTTTGTTGTGTTACAGCCTGAATTACAAATGGATTAAATTGAGATTTTGTGTCACTGGCCTACACATAATACCCCATAACGTCGAAGTGGAATTGTGTTTTTAGAAATTTTTAGAAATTAATAAAAAAGGAAAAGCTGGGGCATATCCAATACAACACATTACTGAGTACCACTCACCACTCACCATATTTTCAAGCATAGTGGTGGCTGCATCATGTTATGGGTATGCTTGTAATCGTTAAGGACTAGGGAGTTTTTCAGGATAAAAAAGAAACTGAATGGCGCTAAGCACAGGCAAACTCCTAGAGGGAAACCTGGTTAAGTCTGCTTTCCACCAGACACTGGGAGATGAATACACCTTTCAGCAGGACAATAACCTAAAACACAAGGCCAAATCTACAGTACACTGGAGTTGCTTACCAAGAAGAGAGTGAATGTTCCTGAGTGGCAGAGTTACAGTTTTGACTTAAATCTACTTGAAAATCTATGGCAAGACCTGAAAAAGGTTGTCTAGCAATCATAAATAAGTAATTTGACAGAGTTTGAAAAGTTCTGAAAAGAATAATCGGCAAATGTTGCACAATCCAGGTGTGGAAAGCTCTTAGAGACTTGCCCAGAAAGACTCACAGGTGCTTCTACAAAGTATTGAATCAGGGTTGTGAAAAAGCTTATGTACATGAGATATTTCTGTATTTCATTTTCAATAAATTAGCTAACATTTCTAAAAACATGTTTTCAAGTTGTCAATATGGGGTATTGTGTGTAGATGGGTGGGAAAAAAAATCTATGTAATCCATTTTGAATTCAGGCTGTAACACAACAAATGTGGAATAACTCAAGGGGTATGAATTCATTCTGAAGGCACTGTAAATCACATTTGAAGCTATAGACAAACAGTGAGTTTCTCCAGCAGACAGGGATTTAAAGCACATACAAATCTATGGAGGGGAAGAAAAGTTTAGTCTCTCAGTTGTTTGTTAACATGATTGTTTTCCTTTCTTTTCACAATGGGGTTGTTTTGGTGCTCGTTGACATTCCTAGCTTTTTCTGGAAAGCACAGACTGGGATTTTATGGATATGTTCACTTAAGCATAGTTAGATACATAACATTAAGCATATTAAAATATAACTCTGGCAGTATTTAATACATATTATTTAACAGTCTTTGTTTAGGAAATAAGTCAAAGGGTATGAATACTTTCTGAAGGCACTGTAGGAACATTATCCAGCATAATTTACATGATCTTTGAGGAGGAAAAAAACATAAATCCAACCTTGGGTTTTGTCAATCAAGAGCAGCAATTTAATAAGACTACTAGAGTTAACTTGTTTCCATTGCAGGAAGTGTAAAATAAATGTAAGTTCATGTGGTTTGGGGAGGTCAAGGCCCACAGTGAGAACAGAGGTGTGTTCGGCAGGACATAAAGTTCTGGAACGTTCAGATAGAAATGTCATTAATATATCTGAAATTATTCCTAAGTCTACATGTCAGACAAAAGTATGTTTGTTCTACATAACATATTTATATCTGAAATGTTCAGGCGGGACACAGTCATCCACAAAGATCTGGAAGTTCCACAAAGGTAAACCTCTGGAAGAACTCCTCCAGCTTCTTAATGGTCAACTCCAGGACCTGGTGGATGAATGAACGAACAGAGGAAGAGATCGATGAATGAACGAATGAGTGAATGAATGAATGAATGAAATATTTTTTTTATGCATCAAGTCGTTGTTAGCGACCCATCCCTTACGGGATTATTTGACACATTTTCACAAAAAACTAAAAGTAATATTCTGTATGTAATATAATAGTAAAATAACACTAGATTTACCTGGTTGAGGGCGTAGTGGATGAAGGCTGGAAACCTAGCTGTGCCATGAGAATTTTACTTCACAGACTTGTTGTGGATTCATTGATTGTCACTGGAATTAGTATGATGGGCTTCCAGTAAATACGATTGTGGATCACAGGAGGTTGGTGGCACCTTAATTGGGGAGGAGAGGCTCGTGGTAATGGCTGGAGCGAAATTAGTGGAATGGTATCAAAAAAATCAAACATATGGTTTCCATGTGTTTGATGCCATTCCATTTACTCCGTTCCAGCCATCCGTCCTCCTCTCAGCAGCTTCCTGTGTTGTGAATGTATAGAAAAACAACATTCCATCCAGGAACTTCAATGAGTAGCAATGACTTTTATTATTTGTATGACCTGTCTGAACAGTTGTTGTTTTACACATTTCCAGTTGAAAACCACACGAGGGTAGTGGAAGGTGTTAAACATCCGCCTGAGGGGATGTCAACCACATTCTCACATCTCATATTCTAGAGTAGAGCACAACCAACCACAGGACTAAACCAAAACCTCTATTGTCATGTTGTAGGTTTGAGCTGGTATGTTGTTCTCTTCACAGATCACATGACATCCCTCCCACGCAACTGAATGTTGCTCTGAATATGTGCCTTACTAATGTATTGGTCATATTATAGAACCCGTTTTATGACAATATATCAATTGCATGTCTTAAGATGGGTGAACTTTATTTAATCAGACATAGATGGGAACATCATTTGGGTCTACATGATCTTTGGAGAAAGTATTTGGAGAGGGAAAAAAACATTAATCAATCAATCAATAACAGCAATTTAAGAAGACTGCTATTGTTGACTACTTGTTTCCATTGCAGGAAGTGTAAATTAAATGTAAGGTCTTGTGGTTTGGGGAGGTCAAGTCCACTGAGAGACCAGGGGACCTAATGCAGAGCAAAGGCAGGCGGGACACAGTCGTCCACAAAGATCTGGAAGTTCTTGTCCACGAAGGTGGACCTCTGGAGGAACTCCTCCAGTTTCTTGACGGACAACTCCAGGACCTGTTGGATGAATGAACGAACGGAACAAAAGTGTTGAATGAATAAATGAACGATTGAGTGAGTGAATGAACAAACAAATTCATATTTTTATTTACGCGTCAAGTCACCTTTCGCGACCCATCTCTTGCGGGATTATTTTACACATTTCCAGGAAAATTAATGTATGTAATATAACAGTATACGACAGTAGACTACACTACGCCATCGCCCAAGATCTGCCAGATTGCTACATTTGTTTTGTTTGTTTTTACAGCGTCTTTAAGATTCTCTTTGTAATGAAAAGCGCTATATAAAATAAATGTATTATTATTCTAGATTTACCTGGTTGTTCTCCTTCTCATTGAGGGCGTAGTGGGCGAACGCCGGGAACTTGTAGCGCTCACCGTATGGCGCGTTGTGGTCGTAGTCGGTACAACAGTAGGCCGACCACAGGTACGTCGGGACCGCCACACGGTCAATGTTATGGCGCCGGATCATGTTCCCTGAGGTGGTGATTCCGGTGACAATGTAGGCGATGCCGCGGCAGTAGTTGTTGAGGCGCTTGCGGATCACGTGCTCCTGCTCTTTCCAGGTGCCGGCACTGAACTCTCTGACCTTAAAGGCAGTGCCACATCATACATGTGTGCCTGTTTATTGGTTGCTGGGGGTTAGAAAGTCATTCCAAGCTATCCACTGGTGTTGGTATTTTACTTATTTGGGATTAAATGATTTACAACTGGGCTTTATATTTAATTTAAAATAAAATACAAACATTTGTAAAATATCTCAGTACATTACCCCACTGTTATATTTTGTTCAATACACAATGTGACCTTATTGTCTACAAGTACAATTTTAAGTAAAGAACTTGAAAACAAAATGGCGGACCTGGGGCACCACGTTGGTCAGAGTGTAGGTGGAGGCCTTGTCGTCTGGGTCGGCCTGGTGCTCGTCAGGGTTGAGGTGGCCACGTTCGTAGAGGACGGCGTTGGTGTAGTCGTCCAGAACGGCCTGGGCGTCCTCAAAGTTCCTGTGCATGTAGCTACGTGGGAACGCCTGCATCTCCCTGGTGTCAGAAACAGTGGACAACTGGGTGGGAGACAAACAAACAATGAGAGAGAATTAAGTAGGGATGAATAGTGTAATGGATATGAGATTAATGAATAGGTTACGTTTTGAAACACATGCTTGCTGTAAAAAGGAGACTTTATGGCATGCAGTTTATGATCATTCAAATATTAGCCTATGAAATGATGTGCAGCATTCTGTAATTTTCATGATGACCATAGAGCATTGGATTTGTGTTATTGAATTACATTTAAATTATATAAAGAATGAAGTTAGCGCCACAGACATTCAAATTCAGAAGCTATGGAAAAACATACCTTATGATATACTAGTGAGAGCCAATCAATATGGAATAATCCACTGGACTGGCATTACAGTGTGGATGCACCCCAAATGGCACCCTATTCCCTATCTAGTGCACTACCTTTGACAAAAGTAGTGCACTAGATAAGGGATAGGTAGCCATTTGGGATGCAACCATTGACTTGAAATGTCTCCAGGTTACCTGTGGCTCGTACATCCAGGGCACGTCCACCCTTTTCTCCCCGTCGGAGCGTTTGAAGGTGTAGGCTGAGTAGATGGGGACGTGGTTGGCTGTGTCGTACAGTGTGACGTAACGCGGCTTGTTGTTGTAGCGCTGGCAGATCTTCTGGAGCGAGTGGTCCTCCAGGCCCACGGGTGGCGTCCCCATGTACAGGAACTCCCTGCACTCTGGAGAGAGCTCCTTCTCCACCGTTCCCCGGACATCCATCATCGCCATGGTGACCAGGAGGAAGGCCTGTGCCCAGAGTGGGGCCATGGTGACTTAGCTAGCCTGTCTTTCTGTCTGTCTTGGTTCTCCTCTGTCTTTACGTCCCTCTTAGTACCTATGTGTGTTTCTGTACCGGCGCTGAGTTCTTGGTGCCGGCAGCTATGAATGAGAGGTACACCTGTGGTTCAGCGTTAGCGCTCCCTAATCTGGGCTCATTATGCAAAGCCATGCACACCTTCTCTATCAGCTGACCTTAGCTGCCTATCATTGACAACCTGAGTTCTATTGAAATAAAGATGTCATTGCTAGCCTGGTTCCAGGTTTCTTTGTGCTGTATTGCCAATCCTTATCATCTTTGGCATGACAACAACTATAGAAATTGGCAATACAGTACAAAGAGATCTGGGACCAGGCTAGGCTATTGCAAAGCCTGATGGGTTTTGCTATTGGTGGCCTTGGTGGTATGGTTGGCCTCAGCTGGATTTAAACTTCTAGTGACTGATAACAGACTCTGACTGACAGATGACTGTGACTTCAGAGCGAGTGGTTCCTATCAATAGTTTATTTCTGAAGAGTACCTACCCTTACCCAGGTGGTAAGGGTAGGTAACAACACATCTGCCACGCTGATCCTCAACACGGGGGCCCCTCAGGGGTGCGTGCTCAGTCCCCTCCTGTACTCCCTGTTCACCCATGACTGCATGACCAGGCACGACTCCAACACCATCATTAAGTTTGCCGACGACACAACAGTGGTAGGCCTGATCACCGACAATGATGAGACAGCCTATAGGGAGGAGGTCAGAGACCTGGCTGTGTGGTGCCAGGATAACAACCTCTCCCTCAACGTGCTCAGGACAAAGGAGATGATTGTGGACTACAGGAAAAAATAAAAGAGGACTGAGCATGCCCCCATTCTCATCGACGGGGCTGTAGTGGAACAGGTTGAGAGCTTCAAGTTTCTTGGTGTCCACATCACCAACAAACTATCATGGTTCAAACACACCAAGACAGTCGTGAAGAGGGCACGACAAAGCCTATTCCCCCTCAGGAGACTGAAAAGATTTGGCATGGGGTCCTCAGATCCTCAAAAAGTTATACAGCTGCACCATCGAGAGCATCCTGACTGGTTGCATCACCGCCTGGTAGGGCAACTGCTACCGCACGGCAAGCGGTACCGGAGCGCCAAGTCTATGTCCAAAAGGCTTCTTAACAGCTTCTACCCCCAAGCCATAAGACTCCTGAACAGCTAATCATGGCTACCCGGACTATTTGATTTGAGAATTAGAACGAAACCACACTCAGCTGAGCGCCCTCTGAGGTGACAAGTTCCTCGCACAAGTTGTGAACCATTTTTTTATGTGTTTGTGGTTGTACAGTGTGTGGTAGGTTCAGTCTCTTCCCCCGGGACCACCCATACACAAAAATGTATGCACGCACGACTGTAAGTCGCTTTGGATAAAAGCGTCTGCTAAATGGCATATTATTATTTTATTATTAGCAGACTCTGGTTACTGGACTCATAGATGGTCTTGTATATGGTTATGCTGCATGACCATGTAAGATTGTGTTGGCATCGTGTGGACTCAGGCAGTGACTTAATGGGAAATCAAAGAGAGCCCTTCCAGAAAATTCTTATCTTCCTTTAAAGCGGAAACAAGGGTCATGTACCTCAATAACATGAGTGAATGACTTTGAATGTGTCTGTCAATGACCCATTTGCTAGTAAAGGCCATTGATGTGTATGTGTCTATACATGTGTGTATTGGACATGGCCTCAAATGATTGGTGAATGGAAACTGTCTTGATAATATGGGATAATTTGGTGTTTTGTGGTATTAATATTGTCATGGATTAAATGACGACACAAACAATTAAACATACATTTATAATGATTGCTTTATTGGTTAGTAATTTCATAAACATCACCAAATAATGTATATTTTCAGTGGCAGGAACATCTCCTTCGCTCTCTCCCTCTCCCCATCTCTCTCTCGCTCTCTCTCTTTAAATGATTGTCTCTTGATATTTACTCTAATAACCATTCATACTTCGGGGACACAGTTTCCATCGAACAGCTGAAAGTCCTGATCCACAGCCATCTCTCTCTTCACCAACATCTCCATGCTCTTCGTCGACGTCTCCGTGACAATGTTATCTACCACATCATTAAGCCCATAGGCTGCATAGGTAGGGAACTTGTACCGGAGTTCGTACGGCGCACTGGGATCAAAATCCGGACAGCAGTAGGCTGTCCACAGATGTTTCGGTACCCCCACCCGGTTAACGTTACCTCTCCGGATGGTGTTACCAGTGGTGGTGACGCCACTGATGACGTAGGCTGTTCCACGACAATAGTTGTTGAGGCGTTTGCGGATGTCCTCCAGGTAGGGGAGCCAGTGGTGGTGGAGGAACTCCTTGGACTGGGGAACCACGTTGGTCAGGGTGTAGGTCGAGTCCTTGTCCCCAGGACTGGCCTGGTGCTGATCGGGGTTCAGCTGGCCACGCTCGTAGAGGACTGCGTCAGAGTAGTCAGCCAGCACGGCCTGGCTTTCCTCAAGGGCCAGGAGGCTGGAGGGAGAACGGGGGAATGGCTGCATGTTACCTGTCCCAGAGCCGCTGGACAGCTGGAGGAGAGGGAAAGGAGGAGATGAAGAGGGTTAGAGCAATGTCAATGTGTGATTACACAGACAGAAAATAGGTACAACACAGTATATGAGCCAGGAGGAGAAAGAGAGAGAGAGTGCAACAGATTATTGCATATAGAAAATGTGAACAGGAATATCACTTGCTAATACTATGTAACAATGTGTACCTACTACCTAGACTTTGTGACACTGAAACCTGTTCATTGTGAGGGCAATTTCATTGTGTGTCGTGCTTATCAAGACTATTAAACCACCAGTTCAGAGTACTAGAGGGAATGTTTTAATGTGCTCTACTGTCTACACATAACCATTAAAGCCCTATTCTCACCACTGTAACAGACCATCTATTCTTTGAACTACTCATCGTCTCCTCTTCTTCAGTTTGATTTGACCACAGAATTCAATAGAACAGAGTATTGTGTCTCTATGAATTTGTCTGTGTAGACCAGAGAGATGCATGATCTCGACCAGAGAGACCTATCAGTATAGTTAGTAAAAAAGTCTAGGCCCTTACCTGTGGTTCGTACATCCAAGGCAGACCGTCCCTGCTCTCACCATTGGAGCGTTTAAAGGTGTAGGCAGAGAAGAGGGGGATCCTGCCTGCTGGGTCGTACAGGGTTGCATAGCGCGCCTTGTCCCCGTAACGCTGGCAAACCTTCTGGAGGCCCCGAGTCCCCCGGAGGCCCCTGGGAGCCAGGCCCCGGTACAGGAACCGGCTGCAGTCCCTGAAGGAGGAGTCCACGCTGGGGTTTACTGGGGGAGGTAGAGAAAGCAGGGCCAGAGCCAGGAGCACACAGGACAGCAACATAGTGAGGTGTGGATACACTATCCTCTCTGTCTGTACCTACACTGGACGGTTAGTGTGGCTATGGAAGAGAGAAGGAGGATGGAGAATGGGAGGACGGAAAAGGGAGGGAGGGAAGGAGGGATGCATGGAGGGAGGGCTTCCAGAGTAGGTGATGTAATGATTTCTTCAGCAGGTCTGAGAACAGTGGTTTAGAACTGTAGAATAGAACAGGTGAGAGCCATAAACCCACTGATAGGATGCAAAGAAGTGAGTCTCATTCAGCCAGCGCTATCGGTGTGCATGCATTGGGTTACCATGGAAGTATGGTTAGCTGCAGTCCTAGCCGACTCATGCACCATGCCCATGCCTCTACCATTGTTTTTACACTGCACCGTGTATGTCCCATATTCCATGCAAATATCGGCTGTAAACTACATTGAACAGAATCTTTTTTATTATGTTAAAACATTATAGATGTAGCTTACTATGGTACTCTCATTAAAGCAGTATCCTGTCGGTTTGAGTTGCATGCAGTACACTTTGTTCAGAGCGTTTCTATGAGGTGTGAAGAAAAGTGTTACTTTGTGATGTTGTGGTTTCTCACATGTTTGAGACATTTGAGACAGATAAGAGAGCTTTTTGTTGTATTTTCAGTTCAGTTGATTGATTGTGCATGACAATTATCGACAGATACCTTGTAAGAGTATTAAATGTGACTAAAATAAAACATTGTTCAATTGGTCAATTTACACCCCCATTACATAAATAAACAAAAACAGACACACACACACACACACACACACACACCTATCTCTTTCTCTTCTTTTTAAAGGTGTTCTCTGACACACAGTCCTTGTAGAAGATAGCCAGATTACTATCCATGTCTGTTTGTTTCTTCAGAAAGCTCTCCAGTGTCTTTAAAGGCACCTCCATAACCCCATGGCCCTCCTGTTCATTCAGTGCATAGGCACCATAGCTGGGGAACATGAAACGCACCTCGTAGGGAGAGTTACGGTCGAACTGTGGGCAACAGTAAGCCAACCACAGGTGATTTGGGATCCCCAGGCGGTCCTCGTTCCCCCGACGTATGGTCGCCCTGGAGACTGTCACCCCGGTTACCACGTAGGACTGCTTTCTGCTGCAGAAGTTATTGAGGCGGTGGCGCACGGTATCCAAGTAGGAGCTCCAGGTCTCTTCCAGGAAGTCTGTGATCTGGTACCAGGACATTAGCTAACATTAACATAAAATTCCATTCTAATTAGGATTATAAACTGGGTTGTTCGAGGCCTGAATGCTGATTGTCTGACAGCCGTGGTATATCAGACCTTATACCACAGGTATGACAAAACATTTATTTTTACTGCTCTAATTATGTTGGTAACCAGTTTTTAATAGCAATAAGGGGTTTGTGGTATATGGCCAACATACCACACCCCTTCGGGCCTTATTGCTTAATTATAACATTATGATTTATAACGTCCCAAAAGCATTAAAATAACGTATTTGATAACAAAATGGCTGACCTGGGGTACCACGTTGGTCAGGGTATAGGTGGAGGCCTTATCGTCTGGGTCAGCCTGGTGCTGGTCTGGGTTGAGCAGGCCTCGGGAGTACTCCACGGCGTCTGAGTAGTCCTCCAGCACCGCCTGGCTCTCCTGGATCAGAGGCTCTGGGTCGTCACTAGGGGGAAGCACCTTCATGTTCCCACCCTCGTTCCCAGACGCCAGCTGTGGATTGATTAGAGGGGGGGTTGATGATTTAATGACAGGTATGACAGATAAGATAGTTTGTAAAAAATAAAAAGGGTTTTGAAAAGTTCCGTTTAGATAGTAAGAGTGGTTAGATGACTAAATCATTAGTTTAGGTGGAGAAAAAGCACGCCCTCATGACAAAGACAGGACAGCCATGCATTGGCCAATAAGTCATTAACATGGGACTGTTATTGCAGGAGAATACTGCAGTATTGCATGAGAGTATCACAGTAAGTTGCTGCTAAAGATCTCTCTCTACCTGCTGTAATGTTGTAACATGATAACAGATCTCTACCTGTGGCTCGTACATCCAGGGCGTGTCCATCCTCTTCTTCCCGTTGTTCTTCTTAAAGGTGTAGGCCGAGTAGAGGGGCAGGCGACGGCTGCCGTCATACAGGGTGGCGTAGCGCGCCTTGTCCCCGTAGCGCTGGCAGATCCTCTTGAGGCTGCCCCTGGTCCCGTCGATGCCCGTCGGTGCTGCCCTCATGTAGAGAAACTGGCTGCAGTCTTTAAAGCTGTCGGATACACTGGCACCAGACAGCCAGATCCCTGTCAACAGGAGGAGGGCCAGCAGGTAGACCCGCAACGGACGCATCTTAGCCTGGGTACAGACCTACAGTGGAGGGGGTGGTGGTGGTAGTACTAGGAGGAAAAGGGAAGGCTGTTTAGGGAGGTGTTTGCAGCCAGCTACAGTATATCTACGTGTAACAATACATCCAGGTGTAGTCTACTGTAGGGTTCAGATGCAGTCCACACAGCTCAGAGGGAGAATGACTGCCAAAGCAAGGAAATGGCTCTGTATGCAAAGTGGCTATGCATAGGATTGATTGGATTGGATGCGTGGTTGACTAATCAGGGAGAGCAGGAGCACACAGGTGAGAGGGTGTGCAAACAGTGTCATGAAACTTCTGGGCCTAATCTTGTTTTTCTAGTGCCACGAGACATTCATCCATCTGTCTGCGAAGTGTTTCTTATAAGTGAACACCCACTTTCACACCATCACACATTGCAACAGCCTGTGGTGGTATACTGTATATAGCCAAAGGAAACTTCAGGCCCCGTCTATATAAACAAAAAAAACTATCTCAGATAGTCAGTGAGTCCTTCAATCAGTTAGTCAATCGTCAGTCAGACAGACAGACAGACAGACAGGAGGTCAGAACGCTCCATTGTTCTAGGAGTTGATCTTCATCAACCCCATCATCATTACCAAGAGATTGTGATTGATATGTCAGGTAAGAGGTTACTCTATATCAGGGGTATTCAAACGGGGGTCCGCAAAAACATTTCCTTAAATGTTTTTATGAATATCGCTAGCAACAACAGAATTAACACATTTTGAATTACATACAGTTGGGAAAAAAAGTATTTAGTCAGCCACCAATTGTGCAAGTTCTCCCACTTAAAAAGATGAGAGAGGCCTGTAATTTTCATCATAGGTACACGTCAACTATGACAGACAAATTGAGATTTTTTTGTTGTTGAGAAAATCACATAGTAGATTTTTAATGAATTTATTTGCAAATTATGGTGGAAAATAAGTATTTGGTCACCTACAAACAAGCAAGATTTTTGGCTCTCACAGACCTGTAACTTCTTCTTTTTTTTCTTCTTTTTTTTCTTTTTTTTTTCTGGGAATGGATCAGCTTAATATTGCAGATAGATTGTATCTTCTATCAATGTAATTGTCTGCATCACTTCCAATCCCCCATGTTGTTTTTTTAATTTTTTTAAAAAATATATATATTCCCCTTTATTACTTTTCAACCCCACCATCCTTTCCCTACTTGGAGTAAATTAGTGAACAACAACGCCCAGGCCTCTACTTCCGGTCTATACTTACTATCTACACCTTATGGACAGAGTTAATTTTACAATAATTCTATTATATATATATTATTTATTTATTTTATTTTATTTTTGCTCCTGAACTTCTCTACTCTCAACCTCTCCGATCATTTTCATGATGTCCATCCGGTTTGCTTCTAAATGCCATATCTTTCAAACTGTGCTCTTTCCCAAAAGCTCCCAACATACAACCTATATACTTATTATGGACACAGTATGCTTACATTATTAGCTATCTTTGTTATTATTTGTTGTTATTTGTTATTAGTCCCATCCTTCAACTCTATTCAATACCTCCCATCTATCTCTTAACACCATCCATATAGGATTTCTATTTGCCATATATATTTCAACCGTACTGTGATGTTTTACAAAAGTTCTGAACCTTTCTATTCTCATTGCTTCTACATATTGTGAATTTAAAAAAATTTTTTTTGCTAAAAGTATTATTATATTATTGATTGATTGACTATGACTTTTCAGATCACCCAGTAATGCTATCTGCAAGGTTAGTTCCAGGTAAATATTGCAATCCTTTAGCCATTCCTGGACCTGTGTCCAAAAACAAGCTACAAATGGACATAACCAAAACAAATGATCTAATGATTCTGTCTCTTCACAGCAAAATCTGCAGAGCTGGGAAGATTGTATCCCCCATATAAATAACATTCTATTGGTAGCAAGAATTGTATATAATAATTTAAATTGAAAGATTCTAATTTTTGAATCCGGTGTCGTTTTGCGTGTCAGTTCATAAACACTATGCCATGGGATCGGTACGTCAAAAGAGATCCCAACTATTTTGCAATCTATATGGGACGGCTGTCAATCCTTTGGTCCTTAAATGAAACTGATATACTTTTTTATTTATCATAGTTTTCCTTAACCAATTATGTTCTTTAATGCAAGGCCGACAGACAAGTTCCTTACTTTCTCCCCCTTCCACTTTCATCTTCCATTTTTGCGGTAAGGCTGCAATTATTTGGTTGTAATTTTGGGTAGAGCAGACATTTCCATGTTTTTGTTAGCTGCATGTGCGACATAACTCCACCAGTCCTACCGATGATATCATTTACGAAGATTATACCTTTTTTAAACATTCTGTCAAAAAATAAAGGTTTTTTGTCAATTAGTATATTTGAATTTAACCACAATATTTGTTGCATTATTTGTTCTGTCGTTTCTGGAGGATTAAATTGAAATTGCAACCAACTTTCTATGGCTTGTTTTAGAAATAGTGACATTTGGGAGATTATTTCCTTTTCAAATAACTGAAAGTGAGAGGTTGTAATCTGAATAAAGGGAAAAAGGCCTTTCTTGAACAGTGGGTGAGACAATCTTACTAATTTGCTTGAGAACCAGTTCGGATTTAAGTATAACTTTTGGATGACTGAAGATTTTAGTGATAGGTCTAATGCTTTAATATTTAATAATTTCTGTCCTCCGAATTCATATTCATTATATAAATATGCTCTTTTAATTTTGTCTGGCTTGCCGTTCCAAATAAAATTGAATATTTTTTTCTCATATAATTTAAAAAACTGTTTGCTAGGCGTAGGCAAGACCATAAGCAAATAGGTAATCTGGGATAATACTAAAGAGTTAATCAGGGTGATTTTTCCACAAATTGACAGGTATTTTCCTTTCCATGGCAGTAAGATCTTATCTATTTTTGCTAACTTTCTATTAAAATTTATTGAAGTGAGATCATTTATTTCCTTTGGGATATGTATTCCGAGTATATCCACATCACCATCAGACCATTTTATTGGTAAACTACATGGTAATGTAAAAATTGTATTTTTTAGTGATCCAATACGTAATATAGTACATTTGTCATAATTTGGTTTTAATCCAGAGAGGTTAGAAAATGTATCTAGATCCTCTATGAGGCTGTGGAGGGATTCTAGTTGTGGATCTAAAAGAAAACATGAAGCCAGTCTCCAGATCTCAACCCCATAGAAAATCTTTGGAGGGAGTTGAAAGTCTATGTTGCCCAGCGACAGCCCCAAAACATCACTGCTCTAGAGGAGATCTGCATGGAGGAATGGGCCAAAATACCAGCAACAGTGTGTGAAAACCTTGTGAAGACTTACAGAAAACGTTTGACCTGTGTCATTGCCAACAAAGGGTATATAACAAAGTATTGAGAAACTTTTGTTATTGACCAAATACTTATTTTCCACCATAATTTGCAAATAAATTCATAAAAAATCCTACAATGTGATTTTCTGGATTATTTTTTCTAATTTTGTCTGTCATAGTTGACGTGTACCTATGATGAAAATTACAGGCCTCTCTCATCTTTTTAAGTGGGAGAACTTGCACAATTGGTGGCTGACTAAATACTTTTTTCCCCCACTGTACATACAATAGGAAAGGTGTTAATATCTTCTTTCTAATGATGTCAACTTTATTTCTCAACCCCTAATATTGAGCAAATTACACTCATTGGAGCTAATTACAGAGAAATGATAGTCAATGTAACTGACATAGGCTTAGAAAAAGCACCCGTGAATACTAGTCGTGGCAAGTGCCGCTGGCTGCTGGTAAGCTTTCCCAACTTAAGGCTCTATTCAATCCGTATCGCAGAAGTTCATAGTTACAGCATGATTGAAATTTAAAGGCAATGTTCCCGCGTTAACGGAGACTGCATTCACGGTAAACGCTGCATACAGTATGTCGGCTAAATGGGAAATGACCTTTACATTTCTATCGCGCAATCTGTAGCGCTTCAGCGATCCAGATTGAATAAAGCCCTTAAAACATTTTTGCCAACACATGGCTAACCTTTATTTAACTAGCTTAACAGCTGCTATTAGTGAAAATGTGTTTTGAGTTACCTTTCTATCTAATAGACTATGTTAGAGTTTACACTTCCAATTATAATGTGAGTAGGTCAAAATAATACAAAGCAACTATCTACCAAATCTATTCATTTTAAAATGTTGATTACTTCTCCTTGCTATTCACCTGGTAATAATACCATGGTGGGGGTCCCTGGGTCCCCGGTTTGCCTGGGCGGGGTCCCTGGGTCCCCGGTTTGCCTGGATGGGGGTCCCTGGGTCACCGGTTTGCTTGGGCGGGGTCCTTGGGTCCCCGGTTTACCTGGGTGGGGGTCCCTGGGCAAGAAAAGGTTGAAGACCCCTGCTCTATAATCACTATTTGTGTATGTCTCCAAAAGAGAGCAATACTTTATTTTCTTTTGTAGTTTTTTTCCTTTATTTTCTTTTTTAGGGGAACAGGAGTCCACTCATCCTACACGTTGTATTCTTTAATGGAGATTATTACAGAGATAAAGTGAGTAGGGAGACAGATAAGAGGTATGCAGTTGAAGAAGTCAACTCTGGTAGCGAACCCTGGTCTCTCACGGGGGCATATGTACTCTTGAATTAACTGTGCTTTCGCTATACAAATCTATGGCACAGAGAGTAACACTCTTTTGTATGTGTTTTAGTCAAAATAGCACCACAATATCTTAACATTAGACTACTTTTGAAGTCTGAAAACGTCTGACAACTTTTGATTTTGGAGCGTAATATCCCTTTAAGTTTAGTTCAACATTAAAGAACACTATTGAATTTAATTGAATATCTACCTCCTTCTTCTCTCCAGGCATACAGAGTACTCTGGTGAACCTGCTATGGCTGTGGGGATGGTGGCTGCCCACTGTCCTGTCCTCGTGCACCACGGGTCGGCCAGCAGAGTGCAAGGCTGCCCAGTCAGCTCCCGGTACCAACCTGGCGGGCGAGGGTTTCAACATTGTCACCATGGAGCGCATGCAGGCCTATGTCATTGATGTGGACAACTGGAAGAAGACCATGAATGGGACCTGTACCCTCTGTGTTAACCCTTTCATGAAGGACCAGACTCAGAGGCTGCCCGCAGCTGTGGTGGACTGGCGTCCCTCGCAAAAGTGTCACATGAAGGTGTCCAGCATGGTCTACGACTCCAGCGAGGCGTTTGTGAGCAGCAGCCAGACAGATGTAATACTACTACTAATACTACTACTACTACTACTACTACAGCTACTACTGCTACTACTACTACTACAGCTACTACTAATACTACCACTACTGCTGCTACTACTACTACTACAGCTACTACTACTACTGCTACTACTACTACTACTACTACTACTACTACTACTAACTGCTACTACTACTACTACAGCTA